CATAGGTCCCAGGGGAGGCGCACCCAGGCCTAGGGGCAGCGAGGATCTAGTCGGGGAACTTCTGGAGGGACTGGTCGCATTCAAATCAGCAGGTCCTGATGATCTCCACCCCAGAGCACTGAGGGAATTAGCAGAGGTCATTGCGGGACCCCTGGCACGGCTTTACGAGCACTCGTGGTGCTCTGGCATTGTGCCAGAGGACTGGAAGAGAGCCAATGTGGTTCCCATTTTCAAAAAAGGGAGGAAGGAGGACCCAGGAAACTATAGGCCAGTTAGTCTTACCTCGGTCCTGGGTAAGCTTTTTGAGAGAATTATCCTGGCGCATGTCCTCGAAGGGCAGCAGGGGAGGTTATGCTTGGGGGCAACCAACACGGGTTCATTAGAGGCAGGTCCTGTCAGACCAACCTGGTGGCCTTCTACGACCGGGTCACAAAATCCTTAGATGAAGGGGTAGCAGTAGACATAGTCTTTCTGGACTTCAGGAAGGCCTTCGACACTGTCTCTCACCCCATTCTCATTAAAAAACTAGGGGACTGTGGCGTCGACACCTACACAGTCAGATGGGTCGCTAGTTGGCTGGAGGGCCACACCCAGAGAGTGGTGTTGGATGGGTCTTATTCGACCTGGAGGGATGTGGGCAGTGGGGGCCCCCAGGGCTCGGTCCTCAGGCCCGCACTGTTCAACATCTTCATCAGCGACTTGGACAAGGGTGTAAAAAGCACCCTGTTCAAATTTGCTGATGACACTAAGCTGTGGGGGGATGTGGGCATACTAGAAGGGAGGAATAGGCTGCAATTGGACCTGGACAGGTTACCGGGGTGGGCGGATGAGAACAGGATGGTATTCAATACTGACAAGTGCAAGGTGCTGCACCTGGGGAGGAAGAACCAGCAGCAGACCTACAGGCTGGGGAACTCGCTTCTCGTCAGTGCAGAGGCAAAAAAGGATCTTGGAGTCATTAGTGATGCCAAAATGAACATGGGCCGACAGTGTGGGGACGTGGTCAGGAAGGCCAACCCCACCTTGTCGTGCATCCACAGATGCATCTCGAGCAGGTCCAAGGAGGTGATCCTCCCCCTCTCCCCAACACTGGTCAGGCCGCAGCTGGAGTACTGCATCCAGTTCTGGGCGCCGCACTTCAGGGGGGATGTGGACAGCATGGAGAGGGTCCAGAGGAGGCCACCTGCATGGTCGGGGTCAGCAGGGCAGGCCCTACGAGGAGTGGCTGAGGGATCTGAACCTGTTCAGCCTCCACAAGAGAAGGCTGACGGGGGATCTAGTGGCCATTTACAAACTAGTCGGGGGGGACCAGCAGGCATTGGGGGAGTCCCTGTTCCCCCGAGCACTACCAGGAGTGACTGGAAATAATGGTCACAAGCTGGCAGAGGGTAAATTCAGGTTAGACATCAGGAGGCGCTTCTTCACAGTCAGGGTGGCTAGGATCTGGAACCAACTTCCAAGAGAAGTGCTGTTGGCTCCTCCCCTGGGGGTCTTTAAGAAGAGGCTAGATGAACACCTCACCAGGGTTGTTTGACCCCAGCATTCTTTCCTGCCGTGGCAGGGGGGCAGACTTGATGATCTGCTCAGGTCCCTTCTGACCCTACCTACTATGAAACGATGAAACGTTGCTTCTTATGCAGGGCTGAGCTGAACTTAAATTAGCTAACTGCATAGCAGCTTGCATCCAGCATCCTTACAGTGAGGTTGCTCTACCTACTTTCTCAGTCAGTTCCAGTTAGACACTTTGTTTTTTAGGTAACAGAAGCAGGTTGGGAAAAACCATCCCGGGAAAAGCTGATTTAAATACACTGCAAACCAGCAGCAGCGGTCACGAACCAAGTGTGCTGAGTTTGCATGTGAATGCATCTCTCTGTTTGCATTTGAGATGAGGAGCCTTCTCTGAAGTAGCTATCTTGCTGTGATTGTTACTGAACCATGGTAAACCCAGAGGCTTTTGGTAGGCTTACATGCTCACATATACACAGGCCAAATATTTTCAACCACTGACGCTGTACAGTAGTCCCCCAGATGATAGATGGTTGTGCTTTGTTGTTACTATGAAATTTAACATGAAAACTGTTTCAGATTCAACCACTTGAAACTCAGAACATTTCTCAGGGGTTATTGGGGTGAGTAGGACATGGATAAGTCAGTTGGAAAATCCCATTTATCCCAGTTCCTCAGTCATTTGATACAGCACAAAATGTTCAGAAGCACCCAGGAATCCTAGAAACATAGGTCCAAATCATTCAGGGAGTTCAGTGATTGTTAGGGATCTAGCTGCATCTGAGAATCCGAGATATAAGTCTTATTTTTGAGAGTGACCTACTTTTGAGGCTACATCTCATTGACTTCAAGTGAGAACTGGGCTCCAAAGTGCTTGCTTTGCTCCTGGAACTTGTTATTCCAGCTTGTTCCTGGTGTGTTTTAGTGTCTTGATGAACATCTGTTATGCCTTAGACTTGAAAAATGTTATTTTTCACTTAGTACCTTTCTGATTTTCAAAGGCAGTGGTCGGATTAATGCTTCGTAATGTAGAGGAGACCATGGTGTTTTTCCTAGAAAATGGTGACCAGGGCCAGTGAGCAATTCTGCTACAGCTTTATTTTCTCAGGGCCCTGTGAAGGTTCAAGCTACGGAGTTTGACTGTCCTTCTGCTTATACAAGTCACTTCCATTTATGGCTTTTTCACTTAGAAACTGCAGAGAAGGATTATGTAGAAGACTGGCTTCAGGCATCCAGCACACTTCCTGTGGACAGCACTGGGAGATCTGGTTTGTGCTGGGAGCAGTTGACAGTCTTCAACTTATAGTCGAACCATGGATCATGCTTAAAAATAGGATTTTGGCCCTGCCTAGAATGAACTTGCCCTGAAAGCAAATAGAGTTTCCTGATTAGACGTCACTGATGTTATTCCCTTTCTAGCAGCAAAATGCAGTGGTTTGTTGCCCACTTTTGAAACATTGCCGGTCCTGGGAGAATTGGGTTCATTGGGCCTTTTTCTCTCCCACCCACATATAGAAGTGGGTATTCCCATTCTGCTAAATCCCTTCTTGCTAAGCAGGGTGTTTACTGGCTTGTGTCTGTCCCAGCTTTGACACTATAACAAAAGGTTAGAAATGATGAATGCGTTCCTTTATTTATGCTCCACAGTGCCTCCCTTTTTTTCTGCATAAACCCTTCGCTTGCCTCTTGCCCAGGCTTTAGAAATGATCATCAAATGTGAACTTTCATGGGTTTATTTATAGCATTGCTTTTATGGAAAGAGAGAAAAGAAATGATTAAAAAGCAATTTTACAAAATATTTTGTTTTAAGAGAGAATTCATTGTGTTTAAATCACTGTATTCATTGTGCGGTCTAGACTGGCAAACGAAGGCCTTGGAGCGTCATTCAAATTAAGATTGCAAAGTTCTTCGTGCCTGGAACTATGGATTTGGACGTAAACCCTCAAATGAGCTATTTCTGAACAGTAGTATAATTTTGCTATATTTAAGGCTTTGTTGGAGAGGGGGCACTGGACCAGGTTGGGCATTCAGTCTGATTCAGTAGAGCAAGCCCAGTGTTCCTTTTGTTTCTGTTGTCATTATAAATTCATATTTTCAGGGTTTTGTTCTTTCTGCTTTTCACAATTGCTGAAAACAGTCTCCTCTGTGAGTGAAGCATTTAATCAAACCAGGAAGGGCCAAGCTGACTTGAAACATATTATTGAAGTGCAAAAAAAAAAAAAAAAAACCAACCCAAAAAACAAAGAATCAAGTACCATGATCACTCTGGATATTTTGAGCACCCTGAAAGGGGCAAATTGTTTGAAAACTGCCGCCTGCAGGGTTTATTTTTAACCTGTTTTTGTCACATTGTCGTGATGTCTGGTACAAGTGGTTCACGCTCAGGAGGATTAGAGACTTAAATATCAATTGACGTGATGTTGATGTGTGTTAAAATAAAACAGATTTGCCTGATAGACTGGAAAGACAATTCTGGTGCCATCCCTCATCTGTGTAATAGGGATTGGCGAAGCAAGTCCAAACAATAAGCAGCAGCCATAACCAGGTTTCTGATTTAGATGGAGTTGTGTAAGGACACCACACCCCAGCCTATTCTCTGACCGCTGTCCTAATGCTGTCTCCTCCTGCCCACCCTGCCCTGGCGTTCCAGATGTGAAGTGCTTTGTGCAAAGGAGGCAGTAAAGAAACTATCAGGATTCTTCAGTCTGGAACTAACATATTTAAAAAAAAATGAGAAAGTCCTGGAAGGAAGAGGCAAAATTAACTTGGAGGAGAAAGAGAAGCATCAAGCTTTAGGGAAGGGCTGAAACTGCAGGGTGCATACCCAGAGCTCATGCCTCTGTTGTCTCATTTAGCACTTACCAGAGATCTAGCTCTCATTGTAATCAGTGCAGAGGTTCCCACTGTCTCAAGTGGGAGTTGAATGGGGCCGGTGTTGCCCCAAAGTTTGCTTCCAAGCTTCACAGACACAGGTGGGAAGAGAAATGTCTGATGTGAGGTGCTTACAGCCTAAAGACCCATCCTGCATCGGGATCTACTGGCATGTCCCTGGTGCAAGGGGAGAGGCAGACGGGGCGTCATGATGGGGGACTCCTCTGGCAGGATCTGTGCGCAGGTCATTCATGGGCCCAGGGGAGGGAGAGCAGCATTGCAGCCCGGTGCCGAGCTGAAAACCCCCTGCTAATCTGCTCTGGTGTGTGTAGGCAAGTGTGCTTTCTCATGAACAAACCAGAAAAGCTCCATTACTGGTTGAATAGCAGCTTAAAATAAAGCCTGCCTTCACCTACATTTATCTCTAAAGCCTAGATCTTTTCCAGAGGAGGCACCGGTGCTTTTTGAAATGCCAAATGGTTGAAGGAGCCAGAGGGAGTCAGAATGGGAGTCCCTGTGTGAGCACATAGCATACTTATGACACAGGCAGACAAAACAGGAGCCAGTAGTGAATGCACTAAAGCACCAGCTCCTTTGCCCCTATGCTTTGCCTTTCCCTCCAGCTCACAGGTAAGGGTGCAGCTGGAACAGCAGCAGCGAGATACACTGCTACACTGGCTTCCTTGCAGCGACATCAGCAGACAAGCTGGCCCCTCATTTCACTCCTGTTGCACCTGAAGAAGGAGGGTGAGCATTCATGCATTAGGTCCCTTCAAATACGCCCATTATCATTGCTTGAGTTTCATTACTTTTCCCTTTTGGAACAGAGTTTGGCTTTTTCCAGGCTCAAGTTTCACCTGCTCGTGAATCACAGGCACAGACAGGTTAGGTAGAACCGGGAAATGGGGGTGGTTATAAAACTTGTGATTATTTAAGATTTTTCAGGGCCATGTGGACCTGTAGTGTGGGAGGATAGTTTTAAGAAAAAATGCATCATAAACGATTAAGGATATGTGGCTTCTTAATACCGTATTTTCTCACAACACACACGCCCCCAAAGAAGAGGTGCACCCAGTTTTTGGGAAGGCCGAATTAAGACTTTTCCCCCAGAGTTATGGCCACGTGCAGCAGAGACCAAGCCTAATATTCAGCTCGCTTGCCCTCTCTTTCCTGCTCGGGCGAAAGCTAGTTTGAACTCTTTCACAGCTGACTGGTCAGCAGCTCTTGGCTGTTGTGCTAAAAGCTAAAACTGTAATGGAGTTACTGTAAGACTGGAGTCCAACAGGATTTTGAAAAGGGCTAAAGTCATCTGCAAGGCTGTGAATGAAAGGAAGAGAGACCAGCATGAGCTCAACTATAAACTCTTCAGCAAAGTTACTGAAGAAAAGATACCTTGGTTAGTGGAACATCAAGACTATTAAAAAGACTATTGTTATTAACACGGGGCACATTTACTTGAGTCATTTACTGCGCTTTGGCATCTTGGTGTCTACATGTGTGCACCTATTAGGAAGCATAAAATTAATAAACTCCACGGCAAGGTAGACTTGTAAAACACAAATACTTCCCTGCTGCAGAGTTTTTTCGTGCATAGCAGTGCACATGTAAGTGCTGGCTGAGGCACAGGGTACATCAGCGTAGGGCTAGCCAGCAAGCAGCCCCTGCACTGGAGCACCTTGTGCCCCAGCAAGCCCCTCCGCAGCACATGGAGCCGGGGGGAGCAGCCCTGGGCTGGCAGGCTGGCCCCCTGGGCCCCTGCCACTCTGTACAATTCCTGCACCAAAAGGGACCTCAAGTTTCCCCTTTCAGTCTCCTAATCTGGTGGGAGGGTAGAGGACTGAAAGGCGTCTCCCTCACATTCCCATGGGAAGAGAAAGCATCTCATCATGCATGTCTCCTCCAGGGTGTCCTTTCTGGAGTCAGTTAATGCGATTGCGCTTCACCCAACCTCCCTGTGGATGTGTGCACCCAGAGCGCTCCTCAGTGCCTCTGAGCAGAAACGCTAGGGCGGTGGAAACCTGGCTCCATTAAAGTCAATGGGAGCTTTCCATTGACGTCAGTGGAGACAAGTTTTCTCTCTCTGCTTTTTTGCAACCTTAAAAATGCTAACTCGTATGTATGCCCACACTCTGCTTGCAGCGTGCGGTAGAAATGTATTTGGATCTGCAACATATAAGAAGATCTAAAAGGATTTATAGACATTTATACCAAAAGAAATAAACACATGGAACATAACCAGCCTAAAGTACTGGCTCAGCAAGACAGGCTGTGGCCAACATGACATCACTTACTTTTCTGGTCCACCAATCTCATCCTAAGCAGCGTGCGCCCAGCCAAGTGCACAACCCTGCACATGGGAGAAAAAAAATGACCTGCTGATCTTATTGACAGCCCACTTACATCCTGGCACTTAGGATGTGATTATATTCCTTCCAAGCAGGGCTTAAAAGTGGAAATGGGGAGGTCTGTGACCTGTATGGTCTTACGCAAGTGATTGTACATTTGGGGAACTGCACTGGCATTGTTTGCCCACCTTGTAAAGAGCTCTGATATCTCAGTTGAAGATGGCTCCACGCATGCTAAGTGTTGTTTTTTTTTGCTACAGATATAATAGACCATAAAATTACCCAGTGCTTTTCAAAACGTAGCCATGACATGATAACTGGCTTTCAAGAGTAGCCCCTTGCCCAGGACGACTGTCGGATATGTCCTTCACGTTGCTGTTGAGGCGCTAGTACCAAGGCAGATTTAGGTTCCAGTTTGAGAAATCATAAAAGCTTGTCACATTCTGACTAGACTTTTCTGACCTTTATCTTTTATAAAATATTTTAGCAGTCATCTCTCTGTGGGTGGCAGCTCTCCTGTTTGCTGTGAAATAGTACAGGCCCTGCCAACTTTTGTTTCCCTAAGTCACATAGGCCCCAAGCCCAACCAGAAACACAGAGCCTCATGCCTTCATCCCATGTTGGAGCCAGATTGCAGCCCCCTTACTAACACCACTGCACAGCTTTTCACGTGCCGATCCACCAATTCTAAAAAATCAGACCCAGAGATGGATCCACCTACAGGGACCCTGATCCCTCCAGTGTATCCCCACAGCCTACAGCATGAATCTGCCCAGAAGATCCTTTGGCAGGACCCTGCAGTCCCCAGTCTGGATTCGCTTTGACCTTGAGCAGATCTGGATGGAGCCCAGTGTCCTGCACCTTCACATTAGAAAGTGAAGGGAGCTGCGGGCCACATTACAGAACCGGAGACATTCCAGTAGCTTTGGGGACGCACATTGGCCTGGCCTCACTACTTACAGAAGTGATTAAAACACCTCATCTACAACACAGATTTATTGGAGAATAATCAGGATATCAGCCCCTTAGGTTAGGGATGGGGGGTAACATTTCCTTTGGTTAGCATAAATCTGAAAAGAAAGTCTGCTCTGCCCCAGACTCCTTGGAAGACAGAGGAACTGATTTTTGGTTTGCGGAAAGGTTTGCAGTATTTTGTTCTTGTGACTACTGTAAAATGGGACTGAATGCGTCTTATGCCATCTGGCCTGTTAACCCACAACTAAATCCATCAGTAAGCTCCTGATTGGGCTTGAAACATCTTGTTCTTGTCAAAAAATATTTTAAATAAAAACAGGGCTTTCCACTTGTGTTTATCTTTTACCAGGAGGCCATGGAGAGAATGGGAAAAATTGGGAAAGTTGTGCAGCCAAACCACAAGCATAAAAGGTAATCTTGGTTGTAATCTTGACTTTTATGTGTCTCTCTGTGAGAGTTGAGAAATCATTTAAAAGGAAGTAAGTGCCTGCTTGCTTCTAGCCCTGTTTGTGTGCAGTTATGTGGATGGCCCAGGTTTGCTAAGGTATTCAGGTGCCTCACTTCTTTTGAAATATCACAATTGATATATGCACTAAATCGTGATTTCAGGGGCTGTTAGTTATCTTTAAAAATCCGGGCCGGTGTCCCTATTTGCATTGTGAGTGATCGGGGAAGTGTGACAAGCAGAGCACCAAAATATAATACATATGTGGTTGAAGAGGTTAAATCCCCATTTTCAGAAATGATTTGACCTCCTAGGTCACTAAAAGGCTTTTGAAAGTGTCAGCACCGTACCTAGACTGCTGGCGGCCCTGGGTGAACTTTCAGTATTCGCCAGAGATAATGATAATAATAATCGGACAATGGGAAAAGAATTGTCAGGGCCTTTTTCTGTCCCGTCCCCGGGTGGCTGCCCCATTTGCCCATGCCTGTGCACAGCCCTGCAAAATGTCAATCCTGGGTAACGCATTTCGGTGAAAGTCCCATAAACTACAACTGTGCTTAAATAAAAGTTCCAAGGGTGTAGGTTGTAGCCGTGTCAGTCTAAGGACATGGGCAGACAAGGTTCTTTGGGTGAATCCGATCTCTTTTATTAGACCAACTTAAATAGTTGAAAATAATAGAAAATGCTGAAACTTCCTCAGCCTGACGAAGGGTTTTTGAACCTGAAAGCTTGCTAAAAAATTGTTTTCCAACTATTTAAGTTGGTCTAATAAAAGAGATCAGATTTACCCAAGGAACCTTGTCTGCCTAAATAAAAATTAAGCACATTCACCTGGGTGAGGTGCTGTATTAGGTACAGCTTTGTATGAAAGGGCTGTCCGTTTTTCCTGAAACCTTTCCATTGTCAATGTGTGCTTTTACGCGCCCCCCACCAGGACGTGCGAGTACAGGGAGCTAGTCCATAGTGTACAACGGCTAACCCGCATTGCTGTACTCCAGTTAAATGTGAGCCATAGTAGTAACAGCCTTAGCTCAGAGCAGGAGAGCTGGCAGGGAAGTGTGCGAGCACCACCTGCGGGTGTAGTTGGGGATCGACAAGCAAGATGCCAGATTCACACTTCAGAACAGCCCCTCCGCCTGTCTGAGTCACAACTTCATTTTCTGACAGCTTATGTGAAAGACGCTTCTCTCCATTGTGAAGGGGAAACTAATGAGCTTTGTGATAAAATGTAGCAAGGACCAAAGTGTGAACAACCCTCAAACAGAGAAAACTAAACAGTTTCTTGCTGGTAAGAGAATGCAAACTGTTGCATGCGCTACAGCCCACTCCAAGCTGTGCAAGCTATACAATGGCCCAGACAAAAACTCCTGCCTTTCTCTTTCTTTGCAAAAGAGGAGTAATAGTATCTCTGAGCATGAGCAAGCCCAGAGAGCAGGGAAGGTTTGACTAAGTACACGGGAGGCATTAGTCATTTTTTAAAGGATTAAAGCTTTTGGAACAATTTCTGCTCATGGGTACAAGTGGGTAAAAGGCCTTTGATGTCAATGGTTATGCAGCTGTTTACTGCAGCAGAGACTTCTGCTGTAGCATAATAGGAAAGTGTCTGAAAATTAAAGCTGTGTGTGGAGTAAACAAAAGGTATAATTATAACTTGAAATCACTTGTTTGGGTGGATGTTCTGCTCTGGCAGAACACAGGACTCCAATCCCTGCAAAACTGTAATTAGAACAGAGGCAACGTCACCATGTATCGATGCTGCTCCGAGCGGAGTAAACATATATATTGTGGGGTATAAAGCATTGTAGAGCTTCAAATGTGTTGAATCCAACTTTTTTATCCCCCTCCGCCCCCACAGATTTTATGACAAGAAGTACGAAGTGTTTCTGAAACTCGTGGAACATCAGCGAGAGTATAATGCTATCATGCAAGGCATTTAATTCACAGTCAGATAATCTGAGAACTGTGGGCATCCCAGCTTTTCCAGAGACTTGCAAATGGGAGTTCATGGTAATTTCATCTGATTGCATTATGCGGTTTCAAAGAAAATTGTACTTTGTTCTTTTTAATTAAAAAAATAATCAAGTGCATTCACTTTGTGGTGCTATGTTGGGTATTTTCCCTCAAGCCATTCACATCTCTGAACTGCAGATGACCATTTCCCCACCGGTTAAAAAACAGAAGTTAGTACACCATGCCAACAGTCAGTGGTGACCACAAGCTGGGAAAGCACAAGAAATCAGTGAAGTCCTGTTGCATTTTTAATATCTACCCTACATACTGTTTCAAAAGTTGTCAGGTCAGTTGATCCTTTTAATTCTAGCACCTGCTATGGTTGAGATTGAAGTAGGATTTCTATTGTAAACTCATATTGCCTGGATAATTTGATGACAGCATTTCTTTCTGGGCCTATCTTTAGCAGCCTGCCTAGGCTGCTAAAGACTCTCCCTCTCTCTGTCTTTCCAAATTTCCAAAGCACTTCCACAGAATATAACAGATTATGTTTCTCCATCCCCATCCTTGCAATCAAACATTTTGCCATCAGGTAGCTCAGACCGCTTTATCTTTTGAAAAGTCTTTAATGAGCAGGTGGCGAAAAATTCAGCCACTGATATTTAAAGGTTAGGTCATGCCGATGCAGTTGTAATATATGGTATGCATATATGGTATGCAGGTACCATATACTGCAGGTACCTTTCCCTGTTTTACAGATGCCAATAAAACTCCCTGCTTATTGTTTCTCATGTAGCCATCAGTGAGGTTTCCAGGTGTATCTTGGTGCATTCGCACACTGCAGACAGGATGACAGCAAGTGTGGAACCCAGCCTGCAGTCCCAATATGATGTAATCATGTGTGTTACCATAGCCCGCTGAAGCCCTTCTCATTGACCATTGGGCTGGACACTGAAGAAGAGGGCAAAGAGATGGCCCTAGGTCCCACAAGCTCACAATTCAAGTGGGGCTTCAGCACCACAGCCATTCTCAGGACTGTAGTGAAAGCAGAAGAATAAGTGGGGGGCAGACAGGTTGGCTTCCCCCCATGCTGGCATGAACAGACCTCCCACACTGGGTACGCTTTGCTGAAGAAAAGTGCACCTGCCCTTGGATGACATACGCAGGCCTGATCCTGCAAAGATGTGAGCACTGCAGTGACTTCAATGAGATTCTCACAGGAAGCCCAGGGCAGCTCACAGGAACAGGCATTACTTAAGCATGAGTCATTTATTTTCTACTACTTTAACACCAGTGTCCAACAGTTTAGGGCTTTGGTGCTATATTAAAGGCAAAGGGGGTAGCTGACAAAAGGGGAAAAAGGGCGCAAATAGTCAGAAGTAGCTTAACAGCCTTAAAGCAGAGGTTCCCAACCCCCGGGCTGAGGCCTGGTACCAGGCCTTTAAGGGTTGGCTGCTGGTCTGCAGGAGGGTTGGCTGCCGGACCGGAAATCCAGTAATGACCGGCATATATTCAGTATAAAATGATTGGCTGCCGGTCCACAGTATGCCAGTCACTTCTTGTCTGCAGTATGCTGGTCTGCAGTTTCCCAGTCTGCAGTCTAAAAAGGTTGGGAACCATTGCCCTAAAGCACCAAATGGACTGTGCAAGGCAACTGTAGCTCCTTTGTAGGTCACTGGTGAAAACCCATGAACCCCCAACCTGCTGGTGCCATTCTTCCTCTAAGCCAGTGGTTCTCACCCTTTTTAGATTTGTGACTCAAGGCACCCCTTGGAAAATGCCACTCTCTGCTTTCCCTCTGTTTTTGAATGCAGAAAAATATTTCTTATGTTGCAAAGAACCCAGAAATATCACCACAATGGGTCAGATTTTTTTTAGCACTATAGATTCCTTTGCGAAAATTCAGAGTTTATATTGTGATCCGTGTTTGCACAGATAACGGTGCAATCATTGTGCAGCACCCCATGGCATCCTTGAGAGAATTTCAAGGGACAACCATGGCATCCTGGTTGATAATCACTGCTCTAAGCCCTAGCTATGCAACAGAAACAGCCTATGGACATGAAACATAATACCATCTTTATATACATGGCTTAATAGGAATTCCATTCTTTAGTCCAAGTTAAATGCACACAGGAGTTACCTGATGACAAAATTAGGCTTACAGTATTATATAAATAATAGCTGGTTCCTAAAAAATCATTTTATGTGAGTAGCGAGTGCTCAGAAACATCTGGTAACCCTTTTTTAAAGAAACAATACACTTCCTGCCTTGAAGCTCATGGAAAAGCAATTGCTGCCCTTTCCAAAGTACCCATTGTTAGGGGGAGACTGCTCCATGTAAGATTTCCAAGTTTGGGGCCGTAACTAGAGACAATGATAGTGTATGGGTTTAAAGTGAAGGAACAAAGAACATCATAACAAAGAAGAACCAGCAGCAGAGAAAGCAGATATAATGGTATTAAACCAAAGCATGCAGCTCAAGGGGTTAATGAAAATTATATAAATTGAAAATATGTGAAAGGAAATAAATCACAAATATGACACTTAGAAACTAGTATATTGTGAACAATAAATATTTATATTTATATATATATACACAGATGTATATGTATATACATGTGAGGTGAAGTCCATAAACTCCTAATGCATAACAAAAAGCATATAGTACAGGTTGGGTCCAGATGGAACGAATAATAGTTTTCTTCACTATACCAACAATTTTAACTACTTGCAAAAAAAAATCCTTCATACACTTCCTGCTATTTATATCATCATCATAAATTTGGCCTTGATCTTGCCTGTTGAACAAATGCCCGGACTTATAAGGAAAGTACAGGGAGCATACAAAGTCTACAGGAAGCGAACAACAATGTTAATTTTGTTAAAACTCAGATACACGGAGTTCAAGGAAGCTGCTAAAAATTGTACCTTGCATGAGCATGTACACAATAGTCAGATCAGGCTTTATTTAGATACTTTGTATACTTCTTTCAGTCCCTTTGCATTTTGCTCTCTTTGGAAAACTTGTGTTTCATAGTGGTGTTCTTCAGTCAAGATAACATTATGTCCTTTTATAAAACCAAGATCATGATAATAAAAAATTTGCAAGATTGTAATCCAATGGATGAGCTGAGTATAGACAGTTTTGATGGCCCAAAAGTCCCTATGAAGAACCCTCTTACAGACATCATCTAGCTGACATTTTATTTTCTATGTTGCGTGTGAAGTTGATTTAGTAAATTCTTCAGTAATAAAATGTGTTAGGGTTTAAATCGAATACAGTTGAACTGAGATGTCACTATTGTTTATTTATTTGATTTATATGCCTTTCTCTCCAGAAAAGTTACAGGGTGGCTAAGGATAAAAACAAGATAAATGATCAAAACAGAATAAAATATTGAAGTAAAATTATAAGTAATAAATAAAACAACTCCTGAAATCATAGCACAGCACTTAACCCCACCTGCTAAAAGCCTGGCCAAATAAGAAGGTACTACAGTGCTTTTGAAAGATGTCCAGGGTCGTGCTCTGATGGTCCACAAGTGGGAGGGGGCTCCAAAGCTGAGGAGCAACAACCTACAGCAGGGGTTTTCAACCTTTTTTAATAGGTGCATCCCTGGCAGCTGGATGCAGAGCAGCGGGAGGGGGAGTCAAGGGGGAGGGTGGTGCATGGCCGGATGCAGAGCAGCAGCAGCGCGGGGTGATGGATGGTTGCGGCGTTCACCTCGTGTGAGCTTCCCCCCACTCCCCGCATCTGGCTGGCTGGGCGATGCCTGTGCGGCCGGCACAGGTGCACTGCTGCCTTCACCCCCACCACCCCCAGCCCTGCTCCTGGGAGGCAGCAGCACAAGGTGGTGGGTGGTGGAGCTGCATCCCTGCCTGCCTGCGCGTACCCCCTAGGGCCTTCCCAAGTACTCCTGGGGGTACGCGTACCCCCGGTTGACAACCCCTGACCTAGAGCAACCTCCCATGTATTTTCATTAAATGAACTTGGTGCATAGACTGCACTTGTAAGAGGTTGCTCTCAGGTGACATCAGGGGCCATGGCAGAACACAAAGAAAGAGGAAATCCCTTATGTTTATAGGGCCCAGTCCATCAAGGGATTTTCAGGTCAAAACCAGCACCTTAACTCACACCTGGAAAGCTATTGGGAGACAATGAGCATTTGCTCATCATCACCATCTGGGATCTCCCTGTGGAGCCAAGTAAGAATGGTCCTGCAAATCCCCACCAGGATGTATAAATGCATTATCAGCACCTCATAGCCAACTGTATCAAACACCAGTAAGAGCTCAAATAGGATGAACAGGGTAGGGTTCCCCTGTCAGTCTCCAGGCAAAGATGGTTGAGCAGGGCCAAAAGGCAGTCTCTATACTACACCCAAGGCAAAACTCAGGCTAGTTAAATAGAAATAGGTTGAATAAAAAAACCCACTGTTTAGATATAAAGTGCCTGCTTTTTAATTTTAGGTCTTGCGTATAGCTCTCAGGCATTGTCACTTCAGATACCCTATATGCTAAAATAAGTTATGTAAAAAAGGCCGATTTATTCTGAAGCGGCCCAGTATATACATAGCTATATAGAAAACCAGCCTTGCAGGACATATGGAAACAAATGACTTGGTTGTGACAAATGTCTCTGAGTCTTACTTTGCCATATGCAGCATTAGATTGTTCTTCAAAAACAAATTCATCATACACTATCGCCGAGTCTTTGAGAAGCCTGTAACTGTTTGATGGAAACTCCCTGAAAAATGAGGCTTTGAGTGGATCAAGATTCTGATAGCATACTCTGCGTCGCAGAACTTGTCATACTTATACCCTCTGATTCAATTTCCCGGCAAATGTTTATCATGCAATTCAAAAAGAGGAAAACAACCACTAAGTCGTCAGCTGCTCCAAGGACTCCACGAGGGGGTTCAGGCATTATGTCAAATGGAGAAGATAAGCACGTGATGGTTCCCAGGGAGCAAACAATGACTCTTAGGAAGAAAATCCATATGAGACCACCTTGGGTGAAGATTCCTCTTAAGGTGAGATGTAGAAACAGTGGCATGTCATAAAGGTAATCTGCAAACTAAAGAGTTAATTGAGTTATGCTCAGAAGTAATAATACATTCTCCTGCTCTATCTCACGCAGTGTCTATAGGCAGCAGACAAGTTTCTGAATGCTTTTTCAACTACAGTTTCTTAACTATGGAATTTACTGATTGAATTCACTAATTTTCCAGAATTTAGAGCCAGGTTTTCTCAAGTGTTCACTCTTACATAGATACCGGAATGGGAGACCCGGTTTTCTAAGGAGCAAAGTATGATTGGTGTTGTTTTTTATGAAGATCTGATCAGGGTTGTTTCATTTAATGAAGGCCACCTTTGAAAATCTGCTCTCAGGTCCTTGAAAGACCAAAAGACTTCAGCGCTTGAAAAAGTGCTTTTGAAAATCTGGCCCAATGGCCCAGTCTAGCAGCCTATACTCAGACTAACATCCCAGTCATGAACTGGGACCTGTAGAACAAAGTTCTTAATAGCAATACAGGGTACTCAGTTACCAAAATATACTATGAGCCTTTAAAGAAATCTTTTTCATGCATCATAGACAACCAGTGATTCATATTACCTTCCATTGCCTGTCAGTATTTTAATTCATTAAATCATAGAATGAACTATGCATGGAATAAATATGCAAGAGGAAATATAATGTTTGGATTTTCCATTGGTATTTAAATTCCCTGCTGGTTTACAAATTAATCTGAAGAAATAAATTTCTATTTCATGGAACGTACTCAGTTTATCGGCTAAAGTTCATTTCACAGTCCTCTTAGGCCTGCTCCTTAGGGGCAGGAAGACAGGAAGATTTGCCTTGCCATTATCCTTTATGTGAGGTAAGCAAGGAATGTGCAGCACCTGTACATCTGGCTTTCATTTTTGCACAGTTTTGCTGCCTGTGGAGCCCCTGTACTTACTGGGATTTGGGCTTTAATGAATGATTTTCCCTGTAGGCCTGCCTGGTTTTTCACCTGAGAATTGGGATGCACCCAGAGAAGAAACCAGCTTCTTTCTGGTTTCATATCTGATTCAGAACTAAACTTTAAAGGCGGTGGAGATCCTAGGGTTCAAATGTGAACACACTGAAAACCAGCTTGCCCATCTCAAGTTCTGTTTTTCTGCCCTTGATATTTTTCACCGCTTGTTTTTCCCCTCTCCCAGGATAATGTGTCCCTCTGAGTAGGCACCTGCTTGCATGTGAACCCTGCTCAAAGGCATCTGCCCTGGGCATCTACTAACAGAGAGGCTGAGCCCTGCTGTAAGTGCCAACAGTTCCTTAGAAAGCGCCAACCAGGGAAATGTGCAGAGAGATTTCCCATACTGTCACAAAACGGGATCTGTCTACCACCTGGGCCTACGTAAGCACTTACCTGTCGAGGTTGTCCAGAGAAGCGCTTGTTGTAATCTCTAATCTCGTGTACAATCTGTTTGCTTGGCTTATCTTGTTGATTTTCACAGAAGACATTATCCAAAAGAATCACCTGCAGATAGAAAATAAAGGTGAGCCTTAGCACTGTGTCTTTCCATCCGAAGAAGTGCACCACTGCACCATTAAGGGAAAAAAAAAACAACCCTATGCTGGAGTTTATTGTATTTCTCAATATCATCACCATCACATTGACCTTTGCCCAGTTTCATTTGAGCAGAAACATTTCCTGCATCTTCCTTTTAAAACCTGTGTATATTTTCCAGTGCAATGTGCAGCCTCTGGCAAGAGTCTGAGGTTTTATGGAATATTGTGACACAGATATAACAAGCTATAAAATCATAAAACACTGGAGGCCCATTTAATACTTCACAGGTTCCTGATATGACAGGCATCGAATAATAGTTGCAAATGACCATAGTCCGATTCAAGCCTAAATGGGTTTCGAGATGCTGTGGAAAACTGGCTTAACCTAGGTGTCTTCTTCATTGTATGTTAAGAAGCAGGAGTTTAGAATAGAAATGACACTTACTTTTTGTCTGCAGAGGGGGCAGCTGATTGCTCCTAGCCAGGAGCCATGTTTCCAGTATGTTATTAGGCAGGAACCTACAGAAAATAAAATCACTGTATTAAGGCACAGGGTGTGGATATTTCAGTAGGGTAGATTTGACAGCAGGCTCTCGGAGTTAAAAATCCCTGGCCCCTTCACATTAGTCCAAAAAAAGAGTATAATTCTTTGCTTTCTTCCTAAAAACTGTTTTTTAAAGTAGGATTTTACTTTGAAAAGCGGCTGTTTAAAATGGGTGCCTTCCTTCTGAGAGGATCTACTTTTTCTGCGTATTTAAAAATGTACCTGCTGTCTTCAGGTGAGGCGTTGGTGTTTTGATAATGCGAAGGAGTATGCTTGCTCTGTGAGCAGCCCCACTGATTATACCAGCACCACTCTGGAAGCAAGATCATATTTAACATGCATAAGGGTGTCAAAAACTGGCCCTCAGCGACTAAAGTAGAAGGCTGGGGTAGGGGGGTGTTATTACTTTGGCTGCTGCCATTTCTGTGGAATTGCCACATTTCTGGGTGAGTGAGTTTTTGGACTCTATTCAGTCTTTCATTAACAACAGGTTTGTTAACTAACTTTCAGTTTAGCTCTCAGTCTTAGCCTGTGCAACTCCACGGAAAATGGACAGCTGTAAAATCAGGATGGTGGAATTGTACAGGTATAACTGAGGGTAGCACTCGATACGCAGAAATGTTATTGCTGGTCCAAAGGAATTAGCAACAAAAAATCCAGAGATTTTCTTGACTTTCATCATCCAGGCTCAGTGCATAAGGCTGACAGCTAGGGAAACCAGCTTTCGATTTGCAGACTGATCACATTTGACACAAGCATTGTAGTGTTAATAGAACTGGGATGGTCCAGGAAATAAATGAGAAGTAAGGTTGGTGGGGTAAGGTAATATCTTTTGTGTCCACAAACTTATCTAATATCTCTACCAACTTAGTGTTAGGGTGTGTACAGTCGTTTGCTGCACCTGGCCTGTGTTCATGTGGAGCTGTGTGGGGAAATCAGTGTAAATAACTCAGGGTGGGGTGAAGGGTGGCTGGTATCAGGGGGGTGGGGGCGGGTTGCCCTATTGGGGTAGGAGCGTTCAGCAGTTGAGGGGTGGAAATAGCACAGCCCCAGGGCTGGGGTGAGTAACTGGGCTTCTGCAGACCCAGGGCTGCACTGCCAACATGAGCAGGCATTCGTGAGGTCGGGTTAACCCTTTCTTAAATCAGGTTAACTCAATCTCAGGTCGGTATTCCTATGAACTTCCTGAACATGTGGTCTGTAATAAATCTGAAAATAAAAACTCAGGGAAGACCTGTATGAATAACCAATAATAATAAAATAGTATCTTTCTCTAACTCTCAGTTAATCTGCCTAGAAAGCCTTGGGCTGACCACTTTAAGAAAAACCAGAAAAACACTTTTTTTAAAGGGTAGAGTTTATAAAAGCTATTCTGCACTGGCCTGCCCCTCTTCCAATGGATGTCAGTGGGAGTTTTACTACTGATTTCAGTGGGAGTAGATTTAGAGCTAAACTGAGCATTTTTAAAAATCCTACCCTCAAGTTTTATTGCTTCAAGATGTGAAAAGGTAAATGTTGTACAAGAACTGGCTCTGTACAAATATAGGTATTTTATAACATGCTTGACACACTGGGTTGGGCTTTTCTCTTAAAAGGGTAAATGATGCTGCACTCGGAGGAAAACAAAGTCTAAATAATGCCAATAATAATAATAAGCTCTTACATTGCACTTCTCATCCAGTGATCTGAAGCACTTTACAAATGGGGTCAATAATACACACAGAAAGGGGAAAATAAAAGTGTAGAGAAACAGAGATGATAATATATTTCACTGTTACATCTATCTCCTTACATGAAAAATCTGCATAATAAATTGCTGGATATTATTGGAAACATTTTTGGAACCATTTGTTTTTGTCCCATATTTGTTCTGGGCTGGAAGAAATTCAGGATATCAGTTTTTCCTGTGTGTGCACATTTTATAAAGCAAGTCATGTACATAAAAACCTCAGAGACTCCTAAAATACTCTGATGCCAACTTTCAAACATGGCTGGTTCCTATGACCTACTCCCTGATTTTGGTAAATCCTTAATTGCACCACGAGTCAGATTATAGAGATGATGGTCATGAACAAACTGTGCTGAGCCAGCATAACATCAGTCTAGAAAGAAATGATGATTTCTCTTAGCAAAAATCATATTCCAGAGTAGTAAAAAGTCTTTCAGCACCTTTTAGGTTGCAGTCATAATGTCCCTGCACCTTCCAATATCGACTGGTGAAAAGCATGTTCTTTCCCAGGGATGCAGCTGGGGCAACATTTCTGATGTCCTAAAGGAATATGTTCCAAAACTCTCTCCAGAATATGCTTATTTCTTATTGTAGCAGCAGTGTCAGAAGGCCTGATTCTCTTTAAGACTTAGGCCTTTTTTTATAACTGGCACTGTAAAGAAAGCTAAAGTAAGTGTAAATAGTGTGTAAATGTTGTTTTAAGGCCCCTTAAAAGTGATATAGTGGAGACTTACTGTAGAAAAAAAATTCAGTCTTAGTGAGTGCGTCTACACGAAATGCTACAGCAACGTAGCATCGGCAGGCACGAACTGTGATGCCAATGCTACTGCGCAGTAGGGTTGGAAATGACCTGCGTGCCACCGGGACTGCGCAGTATCAGCTTTAGCAAGTACTAAATGAATGCACAGTAACAACTGCACAATCGGGTGCCCATGTAGATGTGCCCATGTCTTTATTAGGCCTGTGCAAAGCAGCAAGTATTCTTTTCGAATTCAGATTTGGTCAATTCAGAGGGACAGTGATTCGATTTGGAGATTCAAATCACCGTCCTGACTCGATTTTGCCAAATGGGATCTGAAGATTCGGCCATAGACTAAACAGGCTGCAGTCCTCACCATGCTGGACACAGCTGCCTCCAGCTGGTAAGTTTGTTGTGGTGGGTAGAGGGGGGCAGATCAACATCCCCTGAGTGGCAGCAGCAGCCCCGCCTGGAAGCTGTGTGTGCTGGTTGGGCTGGGTCCTTCCACACACAAGGGTGGAGCAAGGTGTGTGAGCTGGGCAGGTTACAATTAATTGGTGGGTGCCCACAAGCCGGATAAAATTGCCTGGCGAGCCATATAAGGCCTGGGCTGTCTGCCCCTCTCTTAGATGGACACAGGGAATTCCTACAAAGGTCCATGGGAACTACATAGATATATTTTAGAGCATAATTGGGTCTCACAAGTGCAATTTTTATGAATTAATATTAAAAGCTGAACTTTACAATTCTTAGCTTTGGAGTACTTTCAGGTATAACTTTAACTTTATGAGAATGCCAGAGTTTGTGAGGTTTGCATAGATTATTGCAGTTTGTATTTTTACTGGCTATTTGCCATTCACAGGCTTCATTGCATCCTATTAGTATTAAACTGGCCTCATGGGGATCTGTTTCCTGTTTATTGCTTAAAGTCTTCATGGGCATTTCAAAACCTTTTCAGCAGTTCATAAATGTGAAAGTGTCAGACAAACACAATATTGTTGCTAATTTTCTAGTAGTTTAAAATAAACAAAGATGGGGCTTAATCTGCTCCCTCCCTAGTGAGACAGCACTCACAGATCCAGCGAGAACAGACACAGGATCTGAGATCTTGAGATCTCAGTAGCAAGTGTTCTGTCTTCACTGAACTGTTCAAGCACCATATGCTCCAGTCTGGAAAACTCACCACAAAAGATATGTCCACAGTTGGTTTCTACTGGGCAAGTTGCTGTTTGGAGACATATTGGGCAATTGAAGTCACTGTGATAATGTGGTTGCCAATGCTGGAGAGATTCCTAAAACAGAAAAAGTCAGAATTCTCTAGTAGATGCATATTTTGAGTGACATCATTTATTAATATTACATTAACTATTAATTATTCTATTTCATTTGCAAACAAGTGTATTAACATTAACCATTACTTGGCCTACAGCAATCACGGAAGGATTCATCAGTGGTGGCAGATGACAGAACTAGGAGCAAGGATCTCCTAGTTGCAGCAAGGGAAACTGAGGTTAGATATTAGGAAAAACTCTCTCACTAGGAGGGTAGTAAAGTACTGGAACAGGTTACCCAGGGAGGTTGTGGAGTCTCCATCCCTAAAGGTTTTTAAGATTCAGGTAGATAAAGCCTTGACTGGGATGATCCAGTCGAGGATGGTCCAGCTTTGAGCAGGGAGGAGGACTAAATGGTCTGTTCTGACCCTGATTTTCTATGTTTCTCCACCTAACAGATGGGGAAAATGAAATGCCTAGAAATTGAATGACTTATTTAATGTAACAAATCATGGCATTTTTACACATGAAAACACCGCAGCACATGTGCAGTTGTATAAGTGGCGAAATGCGTGTCACGGAGCAGAAAATGGTGGCGGTCCGCTTTTGAACTCAAACACATAGAAGATGTTTTAGTTCAAAAGCGCACTGCTGCCATTTTCTCTATGACCCAAGTTAACCCCTACCTAGTCCTCTTACTATTGAATTCAGGGCTTTGGATCCCTGCTCACCATGTAAAACTGCTGTGATTGCAGGGCCAGAGAAGATTTAACTTGGTCCTTGGTGGCGACAGCTCTCTGGCAGCAGTGTCCTGCCCCTGCTCTACTCCACACAGCCAGAGGCTCAAGCTCTCCTGCCTCCATTTGGTGCCCCAGGATGCAAACTGTTAGGTATGCCTCTGGGAGTCAAGGATCAGCAAGGATCAGAGCAGCAGTTGGAGAAGGGGAGGGCTTAACTCGTGGCAAGCCAACCAAAAAAGTTGGCCACGACTGACCTAGGCCATCTTTACTGTTCATACAGGACGCCTCTACGTGAGCAATTAACGCACATGAATAAACTCCTGGACTTATTGCTCTGGAGTTTTTTGCTCCTATGTGCAGCATTTGAATGTGCACCTAGGAACAAAAAACTCCAGAGTATATTGCTCTGGAGTTTATTCATGTGCAGCACATTGAGCCTGGTTGGAGCAGCCACAGCTGGTAGCAGCCCTGGGCTGCTCCAATTGGGCTAAAATTGCTACAGAGAGGCTGACTTGGACATGAGGGTATTTCAGGGCTGGGCTAGTCAACAGGTAGCTCCCACGTTGAAGCACCCTTGTGTCCCAGCCATCCAGGCAGTATCTACACATGTGCTGCTGTGCAAAAAAACCCTCCAGAGCTGGCTAGTACTTTTACAAGTACTTTTACAAGTACTAGCCTGCTCTGCAGTTTGTTTCATGTGCCCTAATAGGGGCATACGTATAGACAGAGATGTTTCCTGTGGAGTTAATTAGGCAGCTCTTTAATAAATGTCTTGAGTAGGTGCACCCACTGAGTCCTAAATTCTGTCTCAATAACCCAGATATTTTCCTTGTTGTTCATTGCCAGTTTCAGCCAGTTCTTACATGTACCAGAATGAAAGGCTTGGTGGGTATGGGAATGATGGCTTTTCTTGGACTGCCGTGATTATTCGTCCAGTATAAACCATAGGCCTTGTACAGTGAATAACTAATGGAGGATCACCTGTAGCTCAAATAAAGGGCTGTGTTTTTAGAACAAGAGAATATGAGTTTTATCCCCACTGTCAGTATAATTTTTCAAAGGGGCACTGTGAAGTCATAGATGGCCATGCATTACCTATGGTGATATAACACAATACCCCAAAAGTATCCTATCCTTTTGTTCTAATTTTTAGTGGAAAGGATGTAAGGTTTAGTTTGTTCTCCGGGCTTTTGTTTCAAGATCGCCTACTGCCCACTCCTATAAATAAAGTCTGCTTGGTATTATAGTCATTTCTGCCATAGCTACCTGATATAATGAGTGGTAAAGAAAAGGCTAAGCAGAATTTTTCTTACTGTACATCAGTTTTTTGCTATGACAGAAAGTTATTGCCAGTTTCATTTATTCAGATTTATTAGCTAGCTTCTGCTGGATCAGGAGATAAAACGTGCTTGCCTCTTTTCATTTTTATATATATTAAAGAAAATATTGCTTTTTAGATTTTTGTCACTTGTCATTGCCAAACTTAGATCAACCTGTGAAGACACTCTAGTAACAGTGTAGTTGGCATCCTTTTCTTCTGAAGATAAAGTTATTTCAATGTTCGTGTCACTCCCATTTAGTAATTGGACTCCTCTGAATTCAGGAAGCAGCCTCCATAGACATTGATTTGCTCTAAGGTAATACCATTTGTCTTTCACTTCCTGTGCATAGTCAAAGGGTACAGGAGGAGAAGGAGTATCAGTTCCACAATTTCATTTTGCATTTGGATCGAAATGTAGTTAAAAGTAGGTGTTTCTTGATGAAATATGCCAAATTATATAGAATGGTATGTTACTACAAAGGAAATAAGGCATATGATTATGGTTATTTTATGATGTCACCATATGCATGGTCATGCCTTATTGCCCAACAGGAAGGTACATGCCAGTGTTCTTGTTTGCTCTGGTGCATATTTCAAAAGCAAGGTTGGCACCCACTTTCCTGATGAATCAGTGAAAACGCCCCCACACCATTTGATCTATTTCTGGAAGATTCAATAAAGAGCATAATAATAGAACTTAGCTCTTTCAATGGTAGAAAGCAGTAGAGCCAGGGAACGCAGTGAATGCCACGCTCATGGGAAAAGCAGACAAAGATCAATTTTATTAATTTAAAGACTCCAAAAAAGAGTGAGGTTGACAAGCAGCTCTACAAAACAACTGAGCTTACATCCTGCTATCTCTGCCAGTTCATTGACTACATGTGTCGAAATCAGTGCCCTCTAAATGATCCTTTTCTTTGTATGATAAGGATCTGGAACCAAGAGGAAGTAGGGTTTTTTTAAAAACAAAATATCAAACCCACTGAAAAAAGTCTAATTTTTCTCTGTTCATGAAATGACTAATATGGATAGCACCCATCTTTAGGCTGTGTATAAGCTGCAATGAGTTGTATGAATTATATAATCAAGTACTAAATAAATGCACAGTAGCCAAGGTTACTGAGCAGTAGTGCTGGCACACGCCTTTTTAGTGACACTACTGCGCCATAGCCTAATAAACAGTGCTAGTACTCTATTGCACAGTATTGTGCTGTGGTGTACTACTGCACAGCATTATTAGACTACTGCGCAGTTAGTGTCTCATGTAGATGTGTCCCGTGTGACTTAAAAAAACACATCCATAATGGCATTTTAATGTATTCCAACTTCCCAAAATGCTTTGGGGACCTATTTGTAGACTCAAAGGGACAGCCTCACAACTGACATCTATTTTCACTGATGAAACTCTGACAGTTTACATGCGCTGAAGGCCTGCGCCTTAGTCCACGACCATGGTGTTTACAAATGCTGCACGTTTGACCTAAGTGTATCAAATCTTTACTTTGCAAAGTAATAAAACATATACTCCTTTAGCCTTGTCTAGTACAAAAACAGGAACCAAATGTGTTTCCAATTATGGAGCAGATATTGAATAAAGGAAACCCAGCATTCCCAGACCATAACCAATGGAAATTTTGAAAAGCTCTCCTGACCTCTGCAACCTCAATAAGTATAAATTGCTTTTGTATTTTATATTAAACTATAATGTAAAATAATGAACTTACTATGGGATTCCTAGAAGAAAAATGGTTATAGCCTTTTTCCAGATGACTCATCTTTTGCTGATTGACATTAGCAAACCTGTAAAAACAGAGTTTGTGCTATTTTAAAAAATGATAGAATTGAATATTACTTTGTTGCCATGTAATATCAGCCCCAGCTTCTGACATGAGTCATTGCATTAATGAGTGCCTAAACTCATCAGGTATATCTAGTAGGCACTGCATGTAAGTACAGATTTGTGCTTAAACATAGAAAATTCCAATCATTTTCTACTCAAGGCACTGTGTGTCACATCGGTTAAAAATTCAAAATCCCACAAGCCAGCCTAATAATAATCCACTAATTATGACTCACAGAAAGGAACACATACATGCATGCAGTACAACAAAAAGTTAAATTCAGAGTTACAAAGTAAATTTATCTTCTTGAAATACCAGTCTTCTTTCCCTACATTCTGGGAAAGAAAAGTATGGGTACCGAAGAGCTTCACATAGGAGAAATCTCCCTAGTTGACCTCTAAGAAATATTTGGGTCACCCAGAAGGGATAAATTTTGTCATTATTAAGCACTAAAGCTACAATTTCCAAAGACACCTAAGGGATTTGAATACTTAATTCTCATTCAAATGAATGAGTGCTTGGACCTCTATACATTTAGGCAGTTGAGAAAAATCTTAGCTTCAAGATTTTCTTCTAATTGCCAAATAGATACTGAAAATGATTTTGTTTTGTAATGTTGGAATTCCATTGTGCCTGACACAATATAGGTAGTTGTCCAGGATGGGCAGATAATGACAGAGACAGACCCAAGAATATCAATATAATCAACATTTTTAAAAATGTACCTTGCACATGGGTAAAAAAGTGTGTTTTCATTGGAGAATATTCTTGCATCTTTCAACATGCAGGAGTGCTAGATACTGTGGGACTATATTCTTCCTTTTTCCAAATGATCACCTAAGTGTGATCTTTCTGTAACAGCTGGGATCCTCTGATCTTCCTCAAAATAATACACTGTGGGTGCATCTACATGTGGAATTAATGCAAATGAATAAAGTCTGGCATGGTTTGTGCTGGAGTTTATTGATCCTGAGCACCATATTTACACATGTGCCTGGGGCCAAAGCATACTGAGCTGGGTCGGAGCAGCTCTGGCTGGCAGGAGCCGTGCGGGGTCAGCCTGCCAGCCCAGGGCTGCTCCAACCTGTTCAATGTGTTGTGGAGGGGCTGCCTGGGGCACAAGGGTGCTTCAGTGCTTCACTTCTACCTGGCTCAGTTCCCAGCTGCTTGCAGCCCCATGAAACTGAGCCCAGTAGTGGGTAACAGAGCTCAGTGCGGGAGCTGCTCTCCACCTCCCTCCACTGGCTCAGCTCCTGTGGCCGGTCCCAGGCAGCAGCAGCAGCAGCCTCCCGCCGGCACCCCCAGGAGGGCTATGGGGCTCTGCCGGACTCCTCCCCGGGGTGCAGACCCTGATCTACCTGCGATCAGAGGAAGCTGCTCCTCTTCCAGTTTCATGCTTCCGTATTATAGCCTGGGCGAAACGTTGAAACAGCATCGAAACATCAAAACTGTTTCGACAAAATGAAACGGAACAGTGCTTTCAAAACGAAACTAAACACCGTTCTGTTGAAACTTCGAAACAGAAGTTGAAGCAAAACAGTGCTGTTTTGCAGTCCTACTGTGCAGTAGCACCCCCAAACAGCTTTTGCGTGATGCTGACTCTGCAGTAGCTCGTTACTAGGCCTGTGTGAAGCAGCTAGCATTCACTTTGGATTCAGGTTCGGCCAATTTGGGGGACAGTGATTTAATTTGGTGATTTGAATCGCTGTCCCGAACTGAGTTGGCTAAATCTGATTTGGAGATTCCGCTGCTGCCAAATCGCCGAATCACACAGGCCCATCCCTCAATTTTCTTAAAGGGCCAGAGCTGGGGCAGGTGGGGCAGCCATGGGGGGACTGGGAGAGTTGGGGGTCAGGGTGCTCATGACAGAGCCCCCCATGCAGCATGGGCTGGGAGAGCAGGCAGGGGATGGGGTGGCAGGAGTCCCTCCATGGCCCTCTCCCCTCTCCTCCAGCCTCCCCTCCCCTGCCCCCTACTTACCAGCTCTGAGCTCCAGCTCCCTGCTGCAGTGGGCAGGGACTGCCAAAATCATCAAAAGTCTCCAAATCTTTTATGAATCAATTTGGAGAGCTTTGAATCAATTCGGATCTTTTTATTGGTCCCCTGATTTGATTCAGATTCGGAGATTCAGCCACCAAATCGGGCCGAATCTCCTCTGAATCAAATCAGCACCCAAAGCTTCGCACAGTCCTACTCATTACTACTGTGCAGTGGTTTGTTACTACTGTGCAGGAGTGTTGCATCACAGTTCATGCCCTGCAACGCTACTGTGCAGTAGTAATGAGCTACTGCACAGTCAGTCTCTCATGTAGCCATGGCCACTGTGCTGCTGGAAGACCATTGAAACTACTCCCTTACTGTACTGCAATTAGGGCTCAGCACTTGGTGGTTTAGTTCTGGTCTTTCTTTTAATGTTTTGCAGGTTAAAAAGAAACTATCATAGGGCAAAAAAGCAGCTGCTAGAAGCTGGTTTTATGCCGCCCTGATCTCTCTGTAAATGAAACTGTGATGTCCAGATGCAAGGGGCTGTGCATAAAGGATTTTTCTACTACCATAAAAAGTAAGTCAGGAGCTGCTTCCTTATCTGTGACCTGAGTCTTTTGTACATTAAAGTAACTGTTAATTTAAGAAAGAAAATGGACTGCCTTCTATTTAACTTGAAATAAATCCAAAAGCTATAAAGACTCTTAACAAAGGGGAAGGAATTGGAAAGCCACAAGTGGAACAGTCTAACACAGGGGTATGCATGTCCTAATGAATTTTCCCCCTAGGTTTATCATATTAATCTGCAAACCGAATCCTAATATATCTTGTAAGAGTTAATGCCCAGACCCAAGGCTTTAATTCTTTCATGTATTAGACCTATACAGCTGATGATCTATTTTATCCTGACACTCTTATCATGCTTATTTAAACATTATTTATTACCCTGTGGAAAGTTTCATGAAAAAGAACAAAGGAAAATGATCATTATATTCTAAATAAAATATCAATTTGATGTATTTAGCATATAAAAACATAGATGACTATCTTAATTGTTAGTGAAAGCGATCAGAAAAGTAAAAACAGTTTATTCTAGCCGAGAATTTGTCCCACAGTGAACAGTTTTCTTGCATTCTATCATTATATAGGGGGAAAGTATCTAATATATGTATCTTTTAAACACTTTGGGCATGAGCCTGATCTTATTTACCCTGATTTATCAAAAATAACTACCAAGATCAATGGATTTACATAGTTGCATTAATGGTCTGAGACCAGAACTAGGCTTATCAGATGGTGAAAACTATTACAGAAAGAGTTAATCACATAGTCAGCACCATTATTTTAAAATGTCTTAAAATGGTATTTGTGTCCCATTTTGCCAGGATGTTTTTATTATATGTGTCTGAATTTTAAAGCACATATTCTAGCCCACATAGTGATGGCCTCTTTAGTTTAGATGCTGTCAGTTTTCACAGTATGTTAGCTTCCATCTATATTTTCCAGATGCAAATGGTAAAATTGAGGTTAGTTAAAAATAACTTTATTAAAATAATTTGGCACCAGGACAAGTTGGCAAAGAGCATTGTGGATTCATCTTCAATGGAGATATTAAAGGCTTAGACTTGTCATTCATCTATCAGGGGTGGATTAAGAAAAACTAATTGAATCTTGCACTGATTTCAGTGACTACTTTACATGAATAAGGACCACCGCACAATTTAAATTGCTGATTATTTTTAAATAATCATTTTTAAATTATTTATTTTAAATACTATAAACTGGATTTTTGAGGGGTCCAAAGGAGTTAGTGTCCAGTTCCCACTGATTTTCACTATGAGTGCCTAAAATGTCCTTTGAAAATCCAAGCCTTGGATAATAAAATATTGACAATGTCTGTGCATTCTGCATCTGTCTTGTTGAAGCTGGCCAGCTGGGTAGAAAGAGATAAAAGAATCGTAGGGCCAGAAGGGCAGCTTGCATGAAGAAACCTGGCTCTGTAGCACAGTAAAGTGGACTGCGGAGACAGCTTAGTTTCTGGCCCCTGCTCCCCACTGTTCATGAATTTGACATTAAATCGTAATTGGGTTAAATGTATAAACAGCATTAGGAGCAGAGAGCAGGGGCCAGAATTCAGGGGTTGCTCCTTTCCCGGGCCTTGGCCGCCTCACTGAGTTCAATAGTCCATTTTGCATGTTTTGTCTGCCATATGAATCTTTCATTAATGTCTCCTCACTGGCCCAGTATCAATAGGAAGGGGGTGGAGGATGCTCTCAGCTCTGCCTAGCCACTGTGGTGTTAAAGGCACTCTAGCAGGAAGTAGGAGGTGTAGGCTAAAGCCCTTTTTTACTGAAGAAGGCAGGGCTGTGCGAAGCTTCGGTTCCTGATTTGATTTGGTGGAGATTCGACCTGCTTTGGTGGCCTAATCGCTGAATCTGAATCAAATCAGAGGACCCTTCAATCTCTCCAAATTGAAGTGGAACCCTCCAAATCGATTCAGAGAGATTTGGAAAGATTCGGAGATTTGGACATAGACACAGCATTAAATGTTTTTTGTACATACCTCAAGGTACCAGGCGGCTCGTGAGTGCTGTGATGCTGGGGCGGATGAGCATCCCACAGGAGCGGGAGGCTCCTCAGAGCACTTGACAGCAGACCTAGAAGTGGACCAATAGCACTTCCGGTCCACTTCTGGATCCTCTGGGGAGTGCACAGGGGGGGCCCCCCATGCTCCATGAGGCTTGGCAACTGGTGCCTCCTGGGTTTGGGGGGGCATCTGGGGTCCCCCCGTGGCCGATTGCTGAGCCAGGAGGGCATGGGGTACCCCCCAGCGCACTCCCCGGCGGACCCGGACGTGGACCGGAAGTGCTTTCGGTCCACTTTCAGGTTCACCACCAAGCATGTGGGGGGGCGCCCCATGCTCCTGTGGGACGCTCCATCTGCCCCAGCATTGCAGCGATCACAAGCTGTGCTGGTACCTCGAGGTACGTAGAAAAAACATTTAAAGCTGTGTCTATGGCCAAATCGCTGGTTCTCCAAATCAGCATCGAATCTTCAGATTCGGATGTGGCCAAATCGAATTGGGGACAGTGATCCAAATCAACGAATCGAATCACTGTCCCTGATTTGGGCCGAATCCAAATCAAATACGGCCCACTTTGCACACCCCTAGAGGAAGGCCTACAACCCAGATCTCCCATTTCCTGGGCAAGTGCTTTAACCACTAGGCTGTTGAACAAAACGTAGACAGAAGGATCACAACCACGGTTGCAACATAAAACAGTTGCTCCATGTGGTTCTTTCTCTGGCTAGAGATCAGGGACTTCTGCAGAGTTTATGCATTTTCCCAGATAGAATTGAATGGCAACAGAGCTGGAAGTGGAGGCCAACACCTAAATGGCTATTCTGAATTGTTTCTGGGCATGCACAGTGGCCCAAAATTAGGCCTTTTCAGACCAAGGTGAAGTGGTATAAGTAATTAGATACTATAGCAGTCTTACAGCTGTTGCACAGGCTGGAATATAACCCTATTTAGTGACTGGGGTACCTAAAAAACCTCATAACTTCCACTTAGAAATCAAAAAAGTGGAACAGGATGTGGGCAAAAGGCCTAACATTTGGCACCAGAGCCTATATTTATACTCCTGAAAAGATTAGTCTGCTTTTACAGAGTTGTTCTACAACTTACACTGATTTCATTGCAAATGGTGAGAATAGAGTAATACTGAAAATCAGACCTCACTTAGGTGCCATGATATAAACTTGCGGTGCTGACCTTTACATGCTGAAGTGAGAGAGACTGGACAATACTTTTTAACCAGATCACATGCCTAAAATAGATGATTGTTCTAAAGTGACTTCCTAAAATAAAATTTTCTACAAATAGAGACAGGATAAATTTGCTTCTTCAGCCACCTGACAGGCAGATACCATGTTGAAGCTCTCCGAATCGATTCAGAAATGATTTGGAGAGCTTCGGTGATTCGAGCAGTCCCTGCCCACTTCAGCAGGGAGCTGGACCCGGATTCGGAGTTGGTAAGTAGGGGGCGGGGGAGGGGAGGGCTGGAGGAGGAGGGAAGGGACCATGGGGGGACCCCTGCCAGGCCCCATTCTCTGCCTGCTCCCCAGCCCTGCTGACCCCTCCACCCCCTGCCCACCCTCCCAACCCTCCCCTTCCCCCACAGCCGCCTGGCCCCAGCTCCCAGTGCTTTAAAAATAAGCCCCACTCACTGGGTGCTGCTGAGCAGCGGGATGATCCCTGCTGCCCCCCACTATCCCACACCATGTGGGGGGCTCTGCCACAAGCCCCCTGATCCCTACCTGCTGTCACAGCCTCATGGCTGACCCACCCACCCCAGCTCTGGCCCTTTAAGAAAAAAAAAACAAAAACATCCCCCAGGCTCACCAGCTCCTGAAGCGGCCTCGAGGCTTCTGGGGGCTCATGCAGAGCCCCCTATGCAGCACGAGGCAGTGGGGGACAACGGGGAGTGCGGCCCTGCTGGGCAGGACCCCAGTGAGTAGGGGCTTCTTTTGTTTATTTGTTTTTTAAAGGGCCAGAGCTGGGGTGGGCAGGGCAGCCATGTGGGGCTGGTGAGGGCGGGCAGCACCCGGTGAGTCGGGGCTTTTTTTTTCAAAGAGCTGGGAGCTGAGGCGGGCGGGGCTGCCATTGCCAGGGCTGGGAGAGCGGGCGGGGGATGGGGCCTGCGTGATGTGGAGATTTGGCTGATTCAGCAGCAGCCAGATCTCCAAATCAGATTCGGCTGAATCGATTCGGGACAGTGATTCGAATCACCAAATCCAATCACTGTCCCCTGAATCAGCCGAATCCAAATCCAAATCCGAAGTGAATACTAGCCACTTCACACGGGCCTAGTAGATACAAGTATTAGAAAAAACAGTGCATTAACTAATGTGCCATACCGCATGTGTAGACGCTGACCGGGAGTAATTGACTTCTGGTCAGGCTAGGCAGCAGAGGGCTGAGAGAGCTGTCCTGGCTTGGCAGGATGCTGCCTGCCAGCCATGTGGACATCGGGACCTATCTGGATCTCCACGTGGCTGAGAGATCTGTCCCGGCAGCTGGGTACCTGCCTCCCTGCCTTGTGGAGATCAGACCTCTCTCAACTTCCATGGGGCAAGAAAAGCTGTCCCAGCTGCCTTCCCAGCCACGTGGAAATCAGGACACATCCCCCTACTCAGGGCCAGCCTAATCTCCCCCCAGCTGGGACAGAGCTGCTCGTGAAGCTGGGACACCTGCTGGAGCTCAGGGCTAAGCCCCCGTGCCCCCTGCCATGGAGCCTGGAGCTGCCCCTGGCTGCTGCATGGGGCAGAGCAGGGTAGGATCAGCCCTGGACTGGGCTATACCTGTCGGGCTCAGTTTGCTCCCGACAGGGGCGCATATGTAGACATGCACAAAGGAGCACTTTAATGAGGCTGAATTATTAGTGCAGAAAGTTCAGGAGCATTAATTGCACATGTAGATGTACTCAGTTTGTCTCCAAGGTACAACCCTGCTCTACCCTTCTTCTTGACTTCAGACTAGCATAGTTAACCACCTCTCAAAGGTTTGAACTAGAGGTCAGAGCATTATCTAAACCTTCCCCACTCTGTGGCCTTGGGCAGGTCACTTAACTTCCCAGGTTCACCGGGTGTATTTTTTTTTTAAATTGTAAGCAGTCCATGATAAAATTTGTCCATCTCAAAGATATGTCAGAAGGAAATTAATTAAAGTTGGCATAGCACTTTGAAGTTGAAAAGTGCTAACTATTATTAAACAATTTTTTTCGAACATCAGCCATTATTCAGAATTAAAATAGACCTCACTTTGAAGTAGAAACTTGTTAATAAAGTATGGTAATCTCAGGGTCAGGCTCCTGTAATACATGAGCTGTGACTGTACACTTGAAGTGTAGTACTGTTAAGACTGTTGATATGGATACATTCGGAAACAATAGCTATTTGATAGTACATATTAAACCTGATCACAAGCAAATTAAAAGTAGCTGACATCCTAAAAAAAGAAGGAATTGTTTTGTTCCACACTTCCAGTTATTTAAAAACATTTGAGCTTGAGTTTCTAACAGTTAAAAATATAATGTGTGTTTTTCACCCAGCACATTTATTTTAGTGGAAAAGCCCACAGTAACCAGCCAAATAAAAAATCCCTACCTTGGTTCAGAAGGTCTGCATAATGTATGGCTCAGCGTTCTGCCTTCTGTAGATATGTAGCCAGATGACTTCTTCCTTATACCAGCTGACAGAAAAGTGTTGTGATATGGAGTCATTATACCTGATTCATTGAGGCAGGCCATTCATCTTGGTAAATTATTAACCTGGTTGCCTCATGTCAAGGTTTTGTTAGGATTTCTAAATGTACTAAGGAAAGGAAAGAAATTTCTTTTCAAATGCAACAATTGCATTAAATGTCTGGAGGACCCCGGGGGTAAAAATAAATCAATTTTTTTTTAACGAGTTCAAAGAGATTCACGTATCTAATAGCAATATTGCATTGCTGCCTTCAAATATTAACTTGATCAAGGTCATGCAACGGGTATTTTTGATCATATGATATAGTAGCAGCTCAAAAAGTGTGTAGATAAGAGATTAGCTGAAGTGCTGTGGTGAAACAGGTTTAAAGCTTGCCAGGCACTTGTGATAGTTTAATATTGTGTAACTCTCGGACCAGATTGAGTAGCTATCCAATCAAACGTGTGAATCTCACATTTTGGGGGGAAGACGTACATATCCCAAAGAACATTACCTGATTGCCAAGTAAACGTCATACAAGATATGTTCTTTTTCATGGTACATGTCTCTCAACAAAACGTCTGACTGATCAAAGAACGCGTTTTAATTCCTATAAGGTTCTTTTACAATTTATGAATAAAATGGTAACATTAGCAAGGAGGTCTGTTAAAGGTCGGGTTTTGCACAGCCCTGAGTGCACTGGCTCTGGGTAGCAAAGCATTCAGGCACATGCCTACCTTCAGTTCTTGAGTAGTCCCACTGATTTATTGAGGAAGTCAGTAATGTTATGGTATGATAGCACGCATGTACTTGGGACACTTATAGTATACTGGCATTCATGTACTTGGGACATTCCTTATAGGCATTTTATTATGGCAAACAAAGCACTTTTAGAAAGATTCATGACAAGATGGGCTTAGTGGAATAAACAATACTCCTTGTTAGTAATTAATCCCTCAGATATGCTCTGTATTATGGTGACAAACTACATACCTCCATGTGTCTGTCGGTGTGAATGTGGGTATACATTCACAGTATGTTAGCTTCCAGCTATATTTTCCAGATGCAAATGGTAAAATTTAGGTAACTAACTTTTAGCTACGTTGTGTACACAGCAGTGCCAGTTGTATATAACGTGTATTATTATAATGTGTATTATTCACTCGTATCTATACTTTGCTGTTTATACATGTTTGAACACAGAGCCCTAATACGATGTAATTGCTTTTGAAAGGTGCCAGATTGTGGCAGTGCAGGTTTCCCCATGTTGCTCTTGTGTTGTGCTGCAAACCCAACATAAGGATACCCCTCTGTGAAATGTTGGATACCCCTCTGTGAAGGCTGTTTATGCCCTTACCATTCAGCTGATGCTCTGGATGTTAGAACTGATTGTATTTTTGAGATGTGAATACTATTCACATGGGACCTGGTCACCAAAACATGTGATCACTAATAACCCAGAATGGATTTGAATTATTTTTGACCGAGACATGATTAAACCAAACTGTAAAAACAGCCTTCTTTTCACAGAAATTAGGGGTGAACACGTACATTTTTGCAATAGTGAGATGCAATCCAAAGACTTTTTTACTTGCTGAAGGCAGTGTATGTAGTTCTGTGTTCCTCTTGCAAAGGCTGATGCTATAACTAACACATAACACAATCTTACAATTTGTCTGATAAATTTTGCACATCCATTGGAAAGAGATATTTCTTTTTTCATGCTTATCCCACTGGCTATTGGAATAGATGATATTAGAATGGAACTCTTGGTTAAAGTGTCCTCACATTTTTATTTCTTTGCTAAACTGCTTTTAAAGTATAAACCATCGTCCTTCCACTAGGTTAAGTTAGATGCTAGCAAACGTCCATTCTAATAGCACCAGATCATTCTGAATGCACAGATTAAATACAGGACAACCCCCTTAATCTGTTATGAATGTTAAAGATAAATCGGCAGTTAAAACACGGCAACCATCTGGTAACAGCTAGGTACGTGACAAGCTGTGACTTTTGCTTATTATACAAAAATGTTATTTCATCGGTGCCTTATCTTTCCATCTCTCGACCTCCTATTTGTTTGTTTCATTCATCTGCCTTGTCCTGTCATGATCAGACATTTTCATTCTGCTTTATACAGTACCTAGCACAGAAAATGGCTCGATCTTTGACTAAGGCCCTCAGGCACAACCGTGAAAAAAACAACAAAGAAAACCGATGAGTACATTGGCCTTGTCTTTTTTGCCTTAGGCTTTGTGCCAGCAAATACTTCTGAGTTACTTGAGCGATCCCATTGAAGCCATAAGGGCTACTCACATGAGTAAAGCATTCACTCATAGTATCAAGTCCTTAATTGCTTAGCTTCTACAGGCAGGTTTTGCAAAAAAATATCATTTACATCACAAAACTCTAACCAAACAAAACTGGAAGAAACTGGTGCCATAATGTGAAATATCACCTCTTGGTAGTGCTTGTGGGGGGAATCTAGGCAATTTGATTTTATGCAGACCTAGGAGTTTTATGTTCGTATGGGAGTTTCTTATTAAAGAACCTCTCAATGTGGCCCAGATGTGATCAGATTCCAGTCGGGGTAATGAGAGTGGGGAATGCCAACTGGTGCCTACAGAGGCAAGCTTTACAGCATTGTGCTAAAAATCAAAATCTAAACTGTCAGAACAGTTATTAACCTGTTCCCACGTAAGAGCAAAACGTGACACACCAGCTGTCAGTGGAAGTGCATGATGAGAGGTAGGAGAGGAATCTGTTTAAAATGGCAAAGTGTTGGGCTGCTAGAAAAAGCAGTTGTGGTTTTTGCCATTAAAACAATCCCGGTGTATAATATTCTTTTATTGCTAGTATTTCCAATAAAAAGAATTGTTGCCTTACTGGCAGTGTGGAGAAACAGCATTGCATATAAAACAGAATAGAACCCCACCCACCTGCTTTTGCCGGTTGGGTTTGCTATGTCACTCACTGGAATATGAATGTCAAGGGAAGCTTAAAATATTGATGAAAATATGGTCAGAGGTCTCAAGCAAACTCATGAGAAATATCTAAAAAGAATAAAATATAATGGCATTAATATGAGAGATAATTAAATCAGAGCTCAGATGTGCACACACATGCCAATTTATTCTATTTGATGTGTAAACAATAACTTGAATTATATTACGGTAAAGCGTGATTAAAGGTGGAGAAAATTCTAGTCACAGGATTATAGAAAATTAGGGTTGGAAGGGACCTCAAGAGGTCATCTAGGCCAACCCCCTGCTCAGAGCAGGACCATCCCCAACTAGACCATCCCAGCCAAGGCTTTGTCTAGCCAGGTCTTAAAAACCTCCAAGGATGGAGAGTCCACAACCTCTCTGGGTAACCTGTTCCAGTGTTTTACTACCTTCCTCATAACAAAATTCTTCCTAATATCTAACCTAAACTTCCCTTGCTGCAACTTGAGACTGTTGCTCCTTGTTCTGTCATCTGCCACCGCTGAGAACAGTCCAGCTCCATCCTCTTTTGAACCTCCCTTCAGGTAGCTGAAAGCTGCCAATAAGTCCACTCTCAGTCTGCTCTTCTCTAGACTAAATAAGCCAAGTTCCCTCAGGCTTTCCTCATAAGTCGTGTCCCCTAGACCTCTCACCATTTTTGTCATCCTCTGCTGGACTCTCTCCAATTTGTCCACATCCTTTCTGTAGTGGGGGGCCCAAAACTGAACACAGTACTCCAGATGTGGCCTCACCAGTGCTGAATAGAGGGGAATAATCACTTCCCTTGACCTGCTGGCAACACTCCTACTAATGCAGCTCAGCATGCTACTAGTCTTTTTGGCAACAAGGGCACATTGATAGCTCATGTTGAGCTTATTGTTCACTGTGACCCCCAGGTCCTTTTCTGCAGAGCTGCTGCCCAGCCAGTCAGCTCCCAGCATATATCGGTGCATGGGATTGTTCCGTCCTAAGTGCAGGACTTTGCACTTGTCCTTGTTGAACCTCATGAGATTCCTTTTGGCCCAATCCTCCAATCTGTCTAGGTCACTCTGAATCCTAACCCTACCCTTCAGCGTATCTACTACTCCCCACAACTTGGTGTCATCTGCAGATTTTCTGAGAGCGCACTCTGTGCCCTCTTCCAGGTCGTTGATGAAGACATTGAACAAAGCCAGCTCCAGCACCAACCCCTCCACTTGATAGCAGCTGCCAACTAGACATTGAGCCATTGATTACTACTGTCTAAGCCTGATGCTCCAGCCACTTTTCTGTCCACCTTACAGCCCATTCATCCAGCCCATACTTCTTTAGCTTGCCTGGGAGAACGTTGTGGGAGACCATATCAAAAGCCTTGCTAAAATTAAGGTACACCACATCCATTGGTCTCCCTGCATCTACAGAGCCAGATGTCTCATCATAGAAGGCAATCAGGTTGGTGAGGCATGATTTGCCCTTGGTGAATTCATGCTGACTATTCCTAATCACTGTTTTCTCCACCAAGTGCTTAGAAATGGATTACTTGAGGATTTGCTCCATGATTTTTCCAGAGACTGAGGTGAGGCCGACTGGTCTATACTTCCTTGGATCCTCCTTTTTCCCTTTATGGGCACTATGCAGGGCCAGTACACATTTTTTGGGCAATCCGAAGAAGCTGGCGGCATTAATGGTGAGGGGGAGGGTGGCGAGCAGCCAGATGTGAAGCTGGCGGCAGTGGCAGAAGGGAGGGGGAAGACAAACAGCTGAATATGAAACCGGCAGCAGCAGTGTTGTGGGACCTCTCCTGATTGCCCTGAGTTTTCAAAGATGATGGCCAATGGCTCTACAATCACATCAGCCAACTCCCTCAGCACCCTCAGGTGCATGCCATCTGACCCCTTGGACTTGTACACATCCAGCTTTTCTAGGTCGTCCCTAACCTGTTCTTTCACCCCTGTTGGGTGCTCACCTCCTCCCTAAACCTCCTCCCCAATTACTGGTGCAGTAATCTGAGAGCTGACCTTGCTTGTGAAGACAAAGGCAAAAAAAGCATTGAACACTTCAGCCTTTTCTGTATCCTCTGTCACTAGGTTGCCTCCCCCATTCAGTAAGGGACCCACACTTCTTGCTACCAACATATTTGTAGAAACCCTTCTTGTTATTCTTCACATCCCTTGCTCGCTGCAACTCCAATTGCATTTTGGCCTTCCTGACTTCATCCCTGCACGTCCAAGCAATGCTCTTATACTCTTCCCTAGTTAATTGTCCAAGTTTCCACTTCTTATAAACTTCCTTTTTGTGATTTAGTTTACTGAAAAGTTCCCTGCTAAGCCAAGCTGGTTTTCTGCTATACTTGCTAGTCTTCCTGTGCATCAGGATAGTTTGTTCTTGTGCTCTCAGTAAGGCTTCTTTAAAGTACAGCCGGCTCTCCTGGACTTCTCTCCCTTTGAGCCTGGCTTCCCAGGGGATCCTTCCCATGAGTTCCCTGAGTGAGTCGAAGTCTGCTTTTCTGAAGTCCAGGGTCCTTACTCTGCTGCTCTCTATCCTTCCTGTCCTCAGGATCCTGAACTCTATCATCTTGTGGTCACTGCTGCCCAAGTTGCCATCCACTTCTACGTCCCCCACCAATTCTTCCCTGTTTGTGAGCAGCAGGTCAAGAAGAGCATGGCCCTTAGTTGGCTGCTCCAACATTTGCACCAGGAAGTTGTTCCCAACACCCTCCAAAAAACTTCCTAGACTGCCTGTGCACTGCTGTATTGCTCTCCTAGCAGATGTCAGTGTGATTGAAGTCCCCCATGAGAACCAGGGCCTGTGATTGGGAAACTTCCACTAGCTGTTTGAAGAAAGCCTCATCCACCACTTCCTCCTGGTTTGGTGGTCTATATCAGAGCACCACCACAACATCACCGTTGGTGCTTTATACCCGTCCATGACAGTGCTCCAGTCATGCGAGCTCCCACCAAGTCTCTGTTATTCCAATCACATCATAGCTCTGTGACTGTGCAAGGATTTCCAAGTCTTCCTGCTCATTTCCCAGGCTCTGTGCATTTGTGCAAAGTCCCTGCTTTGCTTCAAGTATCTGTGAATAACTACCACACCATATGTCCTGCCTTTGTCAGTTATTAGTATTGGTTAGTTTACATGCTAACTAATTGACTAGTACTCTCTACTGGGGATATTTTTAGCTTTTTATCTTTGAGCACCAACTTTATTTCTTGTACATAAGTTTATCATCTTAATAAGAACAACAATAACAATAGTAAATATACTAGTTTTTTCATACCAACGATGTGCAGAGACAAAATGAAGGGAAATTACTATTCCTTTTAACAACTTATTTATTCATGTTCACTTTGAAAAATATATGAAATACAATTAAAATAAGTACAGAAGCTGCCCAGGCCACTTTTGTCACAGGTTGGCCACCTCTGCTTTTGAGGGTCATGTAACAGATACATCTCAAGCACACTTTGCAGTTTTATCAGTGGATCAGTGGATGTAGGACAGAAAATTAAGCAGCACTTGTATAAATAAATCTGATGATGAAAGTATGGGGCTTTTTTGTGTGTGTGAAATAAATTTTAGTGCATGTAAAGGATTAAAGACTGGGATATTAGATAGGCAGAGTATAAGCAGTTCTACAAACTCAGCTAATATCAACTGGTGACAGTCTTGTGACCACCAAACCCAATTTCATGTGTGACCTTAGCCACAAATAAAAAAAAGATATAAAAGGACAGGGCATCAGAACAGAAATGAGGTTATCTGTGAGCAAGTAAACAAAAGCCAGAAACAGAAAGGCATAGATATGAGACTGATAAGTTGTTAGAGAAGTAACCCAGGCAGAGAGATAGGAAGATGTGAAGGCTATAGTGAAAAGGAGGAGGAAAAAAGCATGATGAAAAATGGGTCAGGTGTAAATATTTTATTGTTAAACTGCTGCAGTGTAATGGATCTGTTCATGGTGGGCTGGATCAGACTATGATTTACTGAGGTGACCCATGTAGATACATTCCTGAATAGGTTATTCATTTTGTCTTCTGTATCAAGTGACAAAGATTATTCTGAGCACTCTGGGTTTAAGCAGCCTTTTATTTAATGACATTTCTAACTGTGAGCCAAATAGTTCCCTTTGCCTCCCTCAGGAGAACAGACATGCTCTGGCACATCAGTTTTAGGTGGTATAATGGCACGTGGGAAGTTCTGAGTCTGTGACATGCTCTCTTTCTTCCCTCAGTCCTGTAAAAACCCCTCCAGGAATGACCTGTGGGAGTCATGCTATACCAGTGGGTAGGGAGGAGGGCTAGGATAACTACTTAATCTGCTGCTGCATTCTGTCTTTTCCATCTTTCAAGGAAGGACCATGTAAACTAATCCTAACACAGTCTGCATGATTTTACAGAGAGTGCTTCATGCCAGAGTGAACTTTTCTTCCTTCTGCAAAGCCAGAAGGATGTTGGGACAGTTTTCTTTTACAGATTTCAATGCTCAGGTCTGTTCTCCAACATCACAGCATTCACGAGCTGCACCTGGTACATCGAGGTATGTAGAAAAAACATTTAAATCTGTGTCTATGGCCAAATCGCTGATTCTCCAAATCAGCATCAAATCTTCAGATTTGCATTCAGCCAAATCGAATTGGGACAGTGAACTGAATCAATGAATTGATTTAGATTGACAGGGTTAGGCACCTGGCATCATACATAGGGAAGGAAGAGACACAGGGACCTCCTAGGTATGATCCAGAGCAGTAAGCACCTAAAGCTAGCTCAAAGGCACAGCAGTGTATCTGCACCCTCACTCCACTGCAGGGCTAAGGTGTCTGGCTTCAGGTGAGGGGGATCCTCTGTTATTTCAGGATCCTCCAACATCTCTCTTGGGATCCAGTGTGCTTGAGGTGACTTAAGTATCCTTTTGCTACCTCCCACACCCATTTGAATCACAACAGAGTTTACAGTAGGCATTGATAACTATCTGGTTGACCTGGATTATTTCTGGATTGTGACTTGGACAAATCCTAGGGCATCTCCACTTGGGATATGTACCAAGGTGAACATGAATCAAAGGAGGAACAGTGAGGACTCAGTAACACCTGAAGAGTTTTGCTGCAAAAACCTAACCTGACACCTAACTTGAATGCTCAAGCTCACCTGGGCTGAATGTGCAGTGCAGATATACCATGTCTTTCTGTTCCTCATCTGTAAAGTGGGGATAATACCACTTCCTTCTCTCACAGGGATGTTGTAAGGATACATACTGTAAGAAGTGTATAATATTATAAATTGTATCAATCGAGGTTCTAAATGCAACAGCAAAGCTATGGAATAGTTCATTTTTCATCTAGTCCTTAAACCTGTTCGAATTTATTTCATGGAGATGGGAAGTGGAATTGGTATGTTCATTCCATAGTTAGCCATGGTGTCACAGATTGGCTTTTTTTTATATTTCCAAACTGTATGTATCTACATAAGTGCACAGAAGAATCTGTCACATGCAGTACAGTATTCTGTATAAGATACTGGCTAACCAAAGAATTAAACACATAATTTAAATAAGGAAAAATGACATGCTTGTATCCTCTGTTCGTAAGGAGCAAATTGCCAGGGTCAAATGTGGTTTCCTTTTTCTTCTGCAACAAAACAATAGGTAAAAAGTTTATTAAAAATGAACTGATATGTAACTGAGCCAATTATGTAATCTCCTTGGAGATCAGAAGACTAATTAATTAGATCTGATTCAAAGATTGATACTGATTGTAACTGAATTATATAAAATGTTTTACACTACAGAGGGCTTCGTTTTATATTTTTTACACAGACAGAACTCCCATTAAAGTCAGTGAGAGTTTTCCTTTTCTTTATTTTTCATCTTATTACAAGGGCAAAACAAGTCTTCCAAAGAGCAAAGAATCTATTACCAAAGAGAATAATAACTGATTTCTAGCAAGGTGCATGTTGCTAGAAACAGCTAGTTTGTTTTAAAACTGCTTTAAAAAATACTATCAGTTGATGTTAGATGTCATGAGTCTAAGCAAAGCAACTGCTGAGAATGCCAAACTCCACTTCCCCCCAACTGCAATGTCAATGTAGGTCAAGGTACTTATACTCTTGGTTGGCACAAAACTTAATCTGCTGATAAGCTATCACATGGGTTACACCATATGAACAGGCTTCTAGCAAAGTCTGTAAGTAAGGAAGACTGGTGTATAGTCATTCCTGTGGAAACTAGAACACTTTCTTTGTCATCAATTCCTTTGTCCCCCTTCTTTTTTCCTTCACCACCATACCCTGCTAGTCCTACTGTATTTCTAATGCATGCATGTATAACAACAGCTGGAAGGAAAAAAGCAGAGCTTCACAGACTGCCAAATGAATTTGCCATTTTGTTGTCTCCTGTCTACCTGCAGGATTTGCATGTCATAAGGATAGTATGTCTCATAATCCTGAAGGACAGACTGTTCGTCAGCTAATTTGGGTTTATCCTGGGGAGGCCTTTATTAGTCAGAACTTGAATTAGATCCAGTGGGACGTGAGTGCATAGGGTGCCTTTCCCTTTAGATATGGTACTGCCACTCCTATGCAGACTAGCTTTTGGACTTGGTCTCAGTCCCACACTGCCTGATTCAGCCTCCTTTTGGTATGCACACCATTTTCTCAGGGGCCAGGCTGACCCTGAAGAACAAACTCCCAGAGGAGCGTAAATCTAACACAAACACCACAATCCAGTGCAAGGTATAAACTAACTTAAAACCAGAAAATGCACAACACTATTTGGTACTCATATTTCTCACCTGGGAGTGGATGCCAGAAAGAATAAGAATAAACCCTCATGGTAAAACAGCTGTTAGGGATGTTGCTCAGTGTGCTACCAAAAGGTGCTCAGCTCCTCTAGCGAGGTGAGCAATGTCAGTATAGAAGAGAATAGAAGCAATTAACATAAATGAATGAGATGAACAGGACAGGACATCAGAGAATTCAAGCCAATGCTATAGCTACTAAAGTGAAGCAATAAAATGTGTACGTGGTGCAGGAGATTATCCTATATCTATCCTATATCTGTTTACCCTGAGATCCCTATGCTTGTCTGTGAAGCATCTGGTTCTGAGCACTGTAACAGAGCATTTAACTTGATGTACCTCCAGGGAGATTCAGATGAGATTTTTTTTAACGGACACAGTGCACATAACAGGAAGTGAATGCTTCCTCATTACACCTATTCACTGAAACAGAAAATCAGTAGCACCTAAGTGCTATATGTGCAAAAAAATATGTGTTTGTTCGATGCCAGGGTGTTTTGAGCTGCACAGAGACAATAATTATGCAGCTGCCTGTGGAGATGCATCTGGGTGACCATGTGTAGAGCAGACTGGAGTTCAAGCATAACAGTTCAGGTCTTCTAGTCTCCCAGCCCTGTCACAGAAGATTTTCAGTCACTGTGGGGCCAAGTTTTAGTGACTAGATGGTGTCACCTTTTAGACAGATGGTTTTTGGAGCAGTCACTAACAGCAGCCACCAGCTACACAGCACTGTTAGTAGTACTCGGGTACTAGACTATAGGCAGAAAAGGGGGGGGAAATGATAATTTAGAATGAAAAAGGAGAGCTTTGCATCTCTCCTCAGTCTTTACCACGCTGTCTGGGGGAAGAGAGAAGCGTGCTACTTTATGCCCATGACTAGAGTTAAATCACACTCACATTCAGCACCTTAGGGTCTTGCCATGTCCCCCCCATGCCACTCATCTTTGTTCATCAGTATTTTACATCCAAGTCTTGATTTTTGTCCTCCAAGTTCACATCATTTGTTCTATGCATTGAGGAGGCTTTTACTGTGAATGCACTTTCAGGAAACAGCAGCGAGCTATTTGAATTCAGTTGCCACGCTGAGTTTGTTCCTGTCAGCGGCTACTATCCACTTCACAACCCCATTGCAACTGGCAGTCGCACAGCACCACACACTAAGTGTGCAGTAACCTAAGGCCCCATCTGCACGTTACACCTAAGACACGATTATACAGTTCGCCATGTCTGTGACCCAGCCACAGGTTCAATCAGTTAACTGTGTGATAAAACAAGGAATAAGCCACAACGTTATTCCACAACAATGGGTAATAACCTTGCACTCCTTATTACGCCATTAATTGGATGCATGGCCAAGTGCTCCTCTGTGGCTGGGAGCCCCATCAGCTGATGGGGCGACCAGCTGCAGGGGTGCACCATGTGCTGGTGCTGCGGCTGTGGGGCCCGTCAGCTGCAGGCCTCACAACCACAGGAGCTGGCTACTTGCCCGTGCAGGGGAAACCTGGGGTTGCAACCCAGGTCTCCTCCCGCACCGGCAATATGGCATGACAGGATCTGATGCTGCAAGAGTGGTGCGGTGCGAGGTGCAATGGTGTGGATGGCACCTCAGATGCTATCGTGTGTTTACCCCAATGTCTAGACCAGTGGTTCTCAACCTTATTTGAACCGGGCCCATTTGCAAACGTTGATGGCCAGTCCCGACCCACTGCCCCCTGCCTCCAGCCCCCCCGTGTGTGGGGCAGGCGGTGGGTCTGTGGGGCACAGGGAGCCCCTTGCAGGCTGGAGCTCTGCCAGCCTGCAAGGGAAAAGCTGCGGTTTCCCATATTTTTTTCCCTTTAAAGGAGAATCCATTTCTAAAATGTGTTGATCCATTGTTAAAGTTTGTCACAAGGGCAGTTTAGGTTAGATATTAGGAAGAATTTTCTTACTAGAGGATAGTAAAACACTGCAACAGGTTACCGGGAAAAGCTGCGGTTTCCCACGTTTTTCTCCTTTAAAGGAGAATCCATTTTTAAAGTTTGTTGATCCATTGTTAAAATTTGTTACATGGGAAGTTTAGGATAGATATTAGGAAGAAATTTCTCACTAGGAGTGCAGCAAAACACTGCAACGGATTGCCCAAAGGTGGTGGTTTCTCCTTCCTTGGAGGTTTTAAAGACAAACACTTGGATGGGATGGTTTGGGTAAGGATGGTCATGGTCCTGCTTGGAGCAGGGGACTGGACTAGACGTGCCCTCCTGAGGCCCCTTCCAACCCTCATCTTTCTATGACGCATTTTTAAAGTGGACACATACAGACATTACACTTCGATTAGTCTAAGCGATCAGAAATCGAACAAAACGAGGAGGCCGTCATAGAGGACAGTCCGGTTGCCCTCTGTCCTGTATTGATACAAAACCGGACCCTTCACGTCCTCTCTTTTTCTCTCCAAGAGAAAGTTCGTCCTCATTTTTTCTCTCCAAGAGAAAGCTCGTCCTCTATTTTTCTCCTGAAGAGAAAGTTCGTCTTGAAGCGAAAGTTTGTCCTCTGGTTTTCTCTCGAAGAGCAAGTTCACCCTCTGCTTTTCTCTAGCAGAGAAAGTTCGTCCTTTGTTTTTCGCTCAAAGGGAAAGTTCGTCCTCTATTTTTCTCTACAAGAGAAAGTCCGTCTGGAAGAGAAAAACAGAGGACATTGAGGCGTCGGGTTTCGTATCAGTAAAGGACAGCAGACAGATGACCACCCTAAACTAACCCCAGGACCGTACAGAAGTTCGGCACATGCACTCCGGTCGAAAACCGGTGCGAGGGTCTAATCCACACCGAGCCTGACACCACGGTCAAAGGGATGTGCAGGAGACCAGTGCCACGTGTGCATCGCCCTTCCCTACCTGCTTGAGAAAGGCTGGTGTAGACCCAGGTGCGACAGGAGCAGCACGTGACCAGCCCGGCCCGCTCCGGGGCGCGTGGCTGTGTCCGCGGAGCCCCCGCTGGCCAACAGGCGCTCGCACTGCCGCCCGCGCCCGGCAGGGGGCGCCGGAGGGGCGCACACCTGGTAGGCG